TAGATGCCTTAGGTAAAATCTTGTAATACTAAAATTTTGTACTCAGTAATACTAACATTAACTTTCAGTTAATTAACTAATTAGCCAATTACAAAATATATTTTTCTTTTTTTAATGTAAAAAAAAATATTTGATGCATTGATAGAAAGTCCATACTATCATATTTGGATAACTTTTTATTCAACTTAAATGATTGTTTTTTCAATACAAAAAAAGAAAAAAAAAAAGCGATTGAAATATATACATATTCATTATAAATTCACAATTGTTAATTTTAAAAAAGATATTTGAATCGTAAAATTTTAATTAAAACAACGGTTTAATTAAAATTGACGATAATCGATTATTTCATTTCATTATTGTTTAGTAGCGGTAAATAGTAGTAGTAATAAACTTTTAGATTAAGACTTAAGCTATTAGGAAAACAAATTGTTGATTGCTTAATATTATTGTGAGATTATTCCAACTAATATTACATATGTCACAATAATGCCATATTTCTCATATTATCTTCCCATTTTATCATATTAAATACAATCCTTTTCTTTTCTTTTCTTTTTTTTTTTTTTTTTTTGAAAAATTTAAATTTCTTTCCTCAATTTTTTTTTTCTTTTTAAAAATTAAAAATCGTTGTATTGATTGAAGACTACCTAATGCGTACACACTTCACAATAAGAATTTTTCCTTTCTCTTTGTTGTTGTCATTAGTGATAATAAAATGCTTTCGTCAAGGTTGCAGTTTTTTTTTTTTCGTCACTCAGTTCAAAAAAATTTTCCTTTCTTTCTTCTTAATAAATAAGATAATCATAAGAAAAAGAAAAAAATTTTATTATTATTGTTATTAATTATTTATTATCATTATTATTACCATTATTGTTATTATTGATTATTATTATTATTATATCATTATTACTAATTAGTTATTTTATTATTTTTAGTTGGATAATTAGTGAAAGAATATGAGAAGAATAATATTGAGATGAATGAGATAAGTAATATGATACAAGCGGTCATTGTCATTGTAAGATGTCATTGTCAAAATGAGAAAATGAAATTAAATTAAATTAGGAATTAATTCCTTTTAGCCTTCACTTTTCTTTTATATAAGTTACACATTAGTATTTCGTATCTGATAAAGAATTAAATAAAACATAAGTTATTGCTTCTCATTCAAATCAATTATTAGACACTGCACTTCAATTTTATTTGGAAATAATAATTAATAAAAAAAAAAAAAAAATAAAGACGAGAAAAAATTGTTTTATTGATAATATATGAAGGTTAAATGGTGATTACGTAGCAATATGACAAAACATATGACAATTTTGAAGAAAATTTATTTCCTCTATTTAATTTATTGCAATAGAAGATTGTAGTCTATGAATAATTATGAAATATAAATTGAATCTTTTCTTTATTATTCATTACGTTGTTGTAAATTATATTATTTACACTTACTTTCACAGGTGAAAACTTTCACATCTTTTTATTTTCAAATAATTCTTATCGATTTCTCTAAAAAATTACTTTTAAAACAACTTGTATGTAGGATTGAAATTAGAAATAATATAAATTACATTTCAAATCTTTCATCTTTTCTTCTTTTATTAATATTAAAATTAATTAAATCTGAATGTATTAAGAAAAAAGGAAAAACAAATCCATTTTATCTCATTTTTATATTAGCATTGCTTTCCTTCTTTTTTCCATGATTAGCTTATCAGTGAAATTATCAGTGGTAATCTATTCAGTGCTTTATTTTCAATTGTTTCTTTCATCATCTTATTTCGTTTTACATTTAGCATACTTTTATTAAATTTGTTAAAAAAAGAAAAAATAAATTTGTTGAGTTCGATATCTTTTTATGTAACATTCGATATCATCAATATTGAAATAAAATTTCTTTTGATGAATTTTGAAATAAATTTCTTTCTTTTTTTTTTTTTTGCTTGTTAGATTATATTTTTTCAATTTTCTTCAACTAAAACATAACTGTTTATTTCTTCATTTCTGGTGCATTCCTATAATTCCAGTCTATTTTTCCGGATGTCATAATCAAATTCATCATTTCTATTAATTTCTTTTTCTTCCTACTTTTTTTTTTTTTTTTGCTACGCATGAATTATTTTTTCAAAATTTTTTCTTTTTTAAATTCATTTTCCAATTCGTCATATTTTTCAATTCATTAATTCTGTCTTTAGCTATATTCATTTTATCTCATTCTTCTATTAACTATATTTTATTAATTATTTATTGCTAATAAAATTTATGAAAGTATGCCTTATATGCAAGACTAGAATGCTTATATATCAATTCTTTAAATGATCATTTGATTAATTTCGCTCATTTGGAAGACTTTTCAGAATTTCACTTAAGATATTGCTATTTTTCATTTGCTTTTATTTCTAATTTTTAGTGGTAAGTAAGGGATGAAAAAGATGAAATTTTCATGCTTTAAGTTATTATCCATGTTACTTTTATTGATTTAACTTATTGCTACTATCTTAGTTTGAACTTATAAAACTTATAGATTATTGATAATTTATAAGCTTAAACTACAAAAAAAACTGACAAAAAGATCTGGAATTTCACTAAAATTTTCATGTTTCACCGAAAATTTAAAACATCAAAAAGAAGACTAAATGAAGAATTTAAACTCCAAATTATAAATGACTAATATGGAAAAAAAGAAAAAAAAAAAAAACTAAAGGATAAAGACTACTTAATGATTTCTTTTCTTCAAGATAAATTAATTATACATAGCTTACTGACTGAATGTACAAAATTTTGTTAGCAATTTTCATTTATTTCTTTTTGAAATTTGACTTTTTATTTTTTGGAATTATATTATGGATGAATGATGAGCATGTATGATAATGTCAAAAATTCAAATTCATTAATATTTTCTAAAAATAATTTACGAAAATGAGATTTATTTTTATAAATAAAATTTTATTTCGAAAAATTTTGCCAACATTTCAGTCATCTTATTTAGAGAATTTTTGAAAGAATACAAACTTTAAAAGTAGAATATATTCATGTAAATAATATAATGAAATTTCTATCAAAATTTTTAAAAGGAAAAAGAAATGAATCAGTTAACAACACATCCTATCTATTTCTTGTTTAAAAAAAAAAAAAAAAGCAACACAAAGTGATTTGTTAATATAAGAAAGTAAGAGTTATCTGATATTGAATTCAACCCATCCATTTTCCATCCCATTCCTTTCCTCGTTGTGGTGTATGTATATTTACATATATATATATAATATGTGTCTGTGTGTCCGTGTATGTTGTATGTGTGTGTGTCTATGTCTGCGTATGTGTGTGTATGTAAGTGTGTATCTATTCATTTCCTGTCAATCAAAATTTGTTCATATGGAAATTTTCCTGTTTTTTCAAAAATCTTTTTATTAGAGAGGTATCTAAGAGAGACAGACTAACGTTCAAAAATAGCTTTATTATAAATATGTTTTGTTAAAAATTTAAAATTTCATTCCTTATGTTAAAATTCATACTAGAACGTAAAGAATTGAAAAAAATTTCATTCTCTTCTTTCTTTCTTTCTCTCCCTCTCTCTCTCTCAATTTATTTATTTACATTAATTAATCAAGTTACCTATACATTTCATTTCTTTTTTCAAAGTTATATTCTTATGCTCAACATTCATTTGAGGTATGAATTGAAAATGTAAGAAAAAGTAATGCAATATTGAAAAAGAGCTATTGATATTTTTATTTTCTTATTATTCTGATCTGTAGCAAACATTAAAGTATGCATATCATATAGTTTTACTTTAGTTTCATTATTGTACTTTGAAAGGACTTCTGTAACAGTTATGACTTCCTATAACTTCCAAAAATAAACAATCAAATACACATATACATATAACTTAATTCTTCATTCAATTTAAATTAATAAATTAATGCATCTTCCTTATTCAAAACAAACACCGATACATCACTCAATCTATTACTGTTAATATTCAGCAACTAAAAAAGAAAAAAAAAATGCATAGTAATTATGAGCTTAGTAGTCTTTCATTATTTATATCATACTTTGCCTTACCTTATTTGTTTACGATTTAATTATTTACATTATATTAACCTTGTCTTATTTGTTTACCATTTAATTATTTATTTAGTTTTTCTTATTTGTTTACCATTTGGTATTTAAGATAAATGAAAAAGATTTATTTTAATATCTCATCCTATTATCCAATTTCGAATCGAATCTCCTGAACTAACCTTTTTCTGGACATTAAAAACCGGATGTTACGACTGCTTGAGTTTGAATATGCCGTGTTTGAAATCCCATCCAGTCTTTCCGAAATTCGGTCGCACTATCCGGTAGATTTTAGCTACGGATTTTATAAATCGGATCTTTTAATTGCTGGCTCTAACCTCTTCTATTTCATGGTGATACATATATTATTAAATGAATTTCATTTCAGTATAACTGAATTGCTTCACTCCTTCGAAAAGAAAGAAAGAAAATTCCCACAAATTTAGATTCAAATTTACCATTACAACGAGTAATTAAATAAATAAAAGTAGTAAAATTAAGAAACGAAGAAGCTATTACGTAAACAAAATAAAAACAGCGTTTTTTTTATCGCAAATTTAAATTTAAATTATTAAATTTAAACTATGAAAAATTGCGCGTTATTACACATATCGCATTGATTTGCGCAATTGTACAGTCTTAATTATTTTAGTATCATAAATAAACTCTACTAATTACAGTCCACTTATGCGATTGTTAATTAGGACTTCTTTCGTAATTTAATTAAATTTAATTTTTTTTAATCTATCAATTTAATTTGATTGTAAATTTCGTGATTTAATTCAATTTCTTAATTTAATAAATTCGCAGAACCCCTACGATTAACTCCGCTTTTGTTCATTTATCGAATTACTTTTGTTATGTTCAGAGAAATACTTGGCGTTTTTCTTTAAAAGTGCTAATTATTGCAATAATGTTATTTAAATTATTTCAGGATGCCGTCATCATCAATCCGGAAAAAAGTATATGGCTTAATACGTACCACATTTTCATCTTTAGCACCCGATGACGGTAATGATAATGGTAATGAGAACGGTGGTGATAATTTAATTGGTGATAAAAATGGTAAATATATTACAAATAATGGTAGTAGTGTCAAAGCTCCAACAACTACTAATTCGTGTATTCCTGATGATTGCTCACCGTTAACCCCAACAACTAGCAATTCCTTCATTTCACAGTGCATTTTTAAGAAGTACGCGGATTTTTTATGCAATTTAAAATTAAATATTTTTTTAAAAAAAAAACAAAAAGATATGTTTTCTTTTTTAAATTGATGTATTAACATCGCGATATTTTTATCCTAAGTTTCTCTGTAAATTTAAAATGTAAAATTTTATCAGTATTTTTCTATTTTAAATGAAGTTAAAATTTGAATGCAGCATTTGCTATACCTATGAATCCCCGTTTATTCCAGTCATCAAATTTTTCGAAAATTTTGGTTTTACAAATTTTTTATTTACATTACACAAATAATTTACACATTATGATGTTACTTCTTTGTGGCATCGGAAAATGTATCTTATATTGGTAGTTCCTGGTTATTATGATATCAAATTTGTAATGTGAAAAAGATTTGCTAAATCTCATACTGCAAAAATTTATTAAAATTCATCGAGAGATTTTTAATTTCAGCAGTAGTGTTTCTGTTTCATTAATTTCTTTTAGTAAAAAAAATGGTGTGAAATATGGAACGGAAATTTATTCTGGTAAAACGGGTCTTGATTTGCCGATTTTGCTGTTGGAACCTTTATCTAAGAATGTTTGTGCTTCATATACTGGTCCAGAAGGGGGACTTATGGAGGTACATTGATAAATCAGCTAACTTTTGTAATATATAATTTATTTATTTTTAACTTTCTCACATTTTATATCTTCATAAGAGGTTTAATCGGTAAATTCGAAATTAATTTTCTAACATTTTTTAGGTGGTAGGCATACGTCATCAACCGATTGTTCGAATGGCAAATTTAGATGATGAACTTTGCTTAAGTTTTGACGGTGATTTGTCAGTAGATATAGAGCATTCCTTGAATGATGAATTTCAAACTCTGCAGCATAATCATTTACGGCAGTCATCATCTGGTTTGATGGGTTCATATACCTCACTGATTGATTCATTGGTTATGGGAGATGCAGCACTACGATCAGATACTGGTATAACTGTTCTTTATTTTTTGAACTTAAAATCTTAATTTCGAAATTTCCCTACGAATTCTTCTAAAATTCATTCCATACTTAACTTGTTTCCTTTTGATAATTTATATTACAGTTATATTACGCCATTCTTATACCATCAATCTAAGCCTATTTATTTTGTAATCTTTCATCCTATTATTACAATTATAGCTCTTTTTTTTTTTTAGAAAGTTATAACTGGAATTGTTTTAATGAAGAACGCTGCTTCGGATTATCAACAACACTTTATGAACAAAATCCATTGACAGGCGTTAATGCTGGTAATCCAATAGCAGATGCTTTTGGTATTGTAGCTCGTGATAATAATGTTATAATGGCATTAGCGGATGGTGTTAATTGGGGTGAAGGAGCTCGTTTGGCTGCACGATGTGCAATACGAGGAGCTATTGATCATCTTAATTATCATCTTTTCGCAGAGGAATGTAGAACAAGCACTGTTCGTTATTCATTTTTTTTTCCTAAAAATTTTAATCATTATTGTTAAATTTTAAAACATAATTGGAAAAAATAATATTATTGAAATTTTAATTAAAGTTGCTTTTTTTTTACTGTTGTTTTAATTGTATTTTTACAGTTTTAATGTTGAAAGAAGTAATAAAAGGATAGATTAATTAGTTTATTATTGCTATAATTTTTTTTTTTTAATTTGGAAAACTGACTCAAAGTAAACTATCTTATTTAGCTAACATATGGTAGCTAGTTAAATGATGCAATTGCTGTAGAATGAAAGTAGACTGCAATAAAGTAACTGTTGTTATTAGATAGAAAAGATTTCAAGAATTATGGATGGGATGTCACTCTTATGTTTTATAGCAATTTATAGTCAATTCCTTGGGGACATCGTTTTATTTGCCTATCTGTTTACTGAATCTTGTCTTTATGTACATGTAAAAATTTATATCTGATAATAGATTGGTCGGCATTTTTTATGCTCATTTTCTTAACTTGTTATTAGTGTGATAATTGTGGCGTAAAAATTTTGCTAATTTATCATTTTATATTTTCTAAATATTTAAATTTTGATTTGACTTTTAGCTTCTTAAAATATTTTTAGGAGATATTCCATAGATTACTTGGTGCATTTCATTCTGCTCATGCACTAATTTTACAAGAAGGTGGTCTTCTAACAACACTATGTGTAGCTGTTGCAGTACAACTGAAAGGAAGTACGACATGGGTACTATGTGTTTGTAATGTCGGTGATTCATTATGTTTTGTGTACAGTCCAAAAACTGGTGTTCAAGAGGTACATTTGAAAGAATTCAAAATATGATAATTGATTTAAAAATATAATCATCTTTATTGTTGAAACTTTGAAATTTTAAAGCTTATATTCAGTGAGTATCTTAAATTTGATTTAATTTATATTCATTTAAAGATTACAATTGCTTCACACGATATATGCAGTATGCGTGATATGCGTGATGCTGGTGGTGCATTGGGACCTGTTGATGGTACAAATCCTCAGTTGCACAATCTTACATGTTCTATGACATTCGTAGAACCAGGTAGGAATTGAAGTTTTCACTTTCAACATTTCATTCCACGGAAGGAGTCAAAGAGATACATGAGTAAGGAATTCAAAAAAAAAAAAAGAATGGTTATGGATATCTGAAGTTTATTTAGAACGTATGAAAAAGATTTTTTTTTTTAGATGATGTGATATTCATAACATCAGATGGTGTGTCTGATAATTTTGACCCGGTAGTTGGAAAATTTTGTGTTATTAAGAGGTCTTCAGAACAAATGGATCCTCCAGAAAAATGCGAACCAGTTGTAATGTATATTTGTTTCAAAATTATTTATATAAATATTTGTTCTGTTTCTAAATTTAATTGAAATTCATTAATAGCATGTAATTAATTATAGTCATTCAGTGTAACGTATTTTATTTGCTGGTGAATGTTTTTTTGTGTTAAGTTATTAAGTAGTTTTAGATATATGTTTTTAAAATTACAAAATTACTAGATGAAATTTTTGACTAGATCTGTTCTTTTTAGATCAGTAGATAATGATGATAAAAACCGAGATGCTGAATTTGCTCGAATACGCACCTGCAATGCATCACTTCCATGTGTTGATGCTGAAGAGCGTCACGAGTTGATGTTGTTAAGGTATTGCAATTTTCAATTTTATATTTGTACAAAATTGAAAAAGAAAAACTTTGTTTTGAATTTGAAGTATGAATTTTTTTTTTTCGGACTTTAGATTTTCAAAGCTGAAGAGAAACTTTGTAAATGTTTCTCAATTTTGTCGATATTTTATTAGTATTCTATTATAATAATTATTTATAATATATGTTCTTTTTTGAGGATGGGTGATATAATTTCAAATGGTATCCTTCCACCCATGTCAAGATTAAGATCTTCGCCATCACGTAGATCAAGATCACCGATTGGTGATGGTGTTGTTGTTAGTGCTAGTAAAGTGTGTCATAATCTCATTCAGTTTGCTCAGCAGCTATCCATGTAAGCTTATGTTTATGAATTTTCATACAGTTATGCCTGATAACTAACATACTAGCGTTCTTATGTTGAATAGAGATAAAATTGAAAAGAAACGAATAACTTAGTTACATGGAAATTGGATTTATTTTCTTTTTTTTCGTTCATTTCTTTCACTTATTGTTGTAGCATTCAATTTTGCAGTTTAGTTAATATTTATTTTATTCTTTTTAACTTGAATTTTGCCTATAATGGTTTATTTAGCAAGAGTGCTTTTTTTTTTTTTTTTTTTTTTCAGTAGCTGCTATGCAGCATGATTCACAATGCAGAAGGTAAAAGTATGGAAAGAAGCACTGTTAACTTTATTATTTCTATTATTTAAAGTGCTCCACTTTCTAGAAATTTGTTTTGTCCATATGAAAAGGATATCTTTTATTATCGCTTTGTACAATATTTTAAATTTTCAACCAAAAGAAGTATAGTGAATCATGCTAATGTTTACTGTTATAAATTTAATAATAATTTAGAAAATTCTGTTTGATGTATTGGCTGTTCCTTTTTAAAGTACATAACTATTCTTTCTGCTTATCTTTTACATTTCTTGTTTTTTGTTTATCTCAATTTTGCATCTTTTTTTTATAGGGCAAAACGTCGAACTCTGGAGGACCCAGAATTGTATCAAATTGAGAAACATCTGACAAAAAGTGAGCAACGTAATCATCGTAAAATGGTACGATGTAAACTGAGTGAAATGCCTGGAAAATTAGATCATGCAACGGTTGTAGCTTTTAAAGTTGGGATTTGGCCAACTGATGATGGTATGTACATTTGCAAAAATTACATATAATATATCAAAAATTGAGAAAAGGCGATTGAGGCTAAATTACATGAAATAAACGAAAATAATTTGAGTTTGTTTGATAAATATTTAAATTTTCAAAATTAACATGTGATGTGAAAAATTATTAAGAAAACTGTCTATTCTGTATTAGATGTAGCTGAAATCATTTCATAACATAAAGTTTGCATAGTTAATTCACATCATTGCATTTATGATAGTTAATTTAGGTAGAATTTCAAATTAGAATTGGTAATTTTGTTTTGTCCATATTTTATTTTAGATGCAACAAGTGAGAAATCATTGTTATTAAATGACTGTTTGAATGATTCAATTTCAACTATACACTGTGAAAACGAAGCAAAAGCAGATGTTAAGTCATCAATGATGGGAAATATTGAGGAAGAAATGACATGTAATGTAAATTTCACTGTACAAAACAATTTCATGGTACATACACAAATTTCTGTACCATGCAATGATCCAGTAAGAGCAACTGCAACACTGAACATGAATGTTGATAATGCACAATTGCAGTTAACTGAAATGAATAAAGGAATAAAAAATAGTAGCTGTAATCAAGAGATACCGGTAAGTTTTATATTTTCAATTAATGAAAATTAGAAATCAAATTAATCATTATACAAAATTAGGCTTGCAATTATTGAAATTTATATTTTATAGCAAATTAAAAATCAATCATTTGCTAATGAAAATTATGACTGAGGTAAATATTTCATAGTTTTTAAAATTAGAGGTGTAATTAATGAAATCTTTTTGTAATTTCACATTTTCATATGTTTAGATATCAAATAAATCAGATGATGTTAAAATCCACAAAAAGCATCCACGTGGATCCACTGGTCGACATACGCTTTCAGTGGATGTCACATGGTTAAAAAAGTTTGTAGTGCTCAAGCATTCTGCAAGTGAATCCATAAATGAAGATGAGAAAACAAAGTAAATTCTTTTTTCCTAAACTCTGCAAAATTTTTCAAATATATTTTTTCTACTTTTACACTAAAACTAGCAGATATTATTAATTTTAACATTCTGTTTTAGTTTATTATTAAACTTTCATATAGGAATAATTACGGTGGTGGTGAAACTGAAAGGCCACAAATATTGTCACTACGTCAACGTATTCGTAGTCTCATGGGTTCAGCTCGTAGCGTAATTCAGACAAGTGCTGCTGGAACACCAAATAGAGAATTATCCTCACGTAATGCATTCTCGAAGAAAGTATCTTCTGCCAATTCATCACCAAGGAAAAAATCACAAGCTTATTAACATTTACTTATTGCATTAACGGTTAATTAATTGAATATTTTATTCAAGTTTGAAATAATTGTATAAATTGACTGCTGAGATTTATAATTTAGTACTGCTACTTAACATATTGGACTCTTGCTACCATTGTTTGGGATATGTTACCTCTGAAATTCAAATTTTTTACATGTTGTTTTAATTGTAGAAACATTGGAAGAGTAGTTAAATTACATTTTCTTACTTTTAATATTTATAAGAAAGAAGACTGATATCAAATTTAGTCTGAAATGAAAAAAAAAAAAAAAAAAAACTCATATATTATCTTAGACTATTTAATTGCTAAACTGCTATTCACACTTGATTAATCTTTATGTTATATGTAAATTTCCTGCACTGCCATTACTGTAGTTCTTAAATGCTCTATTTTTGTTTTCAGGTATTACTTCCATTATTGCCTCTACTTCTAAATAATAAGAAAATGTGTGAACCAAGAAAATTCATTTCTTCCCTATTTTATTTTATTTCTCTTTCTCTGTGATTATTCAATTACAACTAAGTAGAACTGTGTGTATATCACGATAAATATCAAATTCTATAATTTTCCTTAATTTTGCTCTGCTAAATATTATCTGAGATATTAGTCGAAAACTAACAGTGCAAACTGCATGAATAATTCTGGTAAATATAAATCATGCAAGCGAGCATTCATTATTAAAAACACAATATCTTAGAAAAATTCGAGATGCTTGCAAAGTGCTTAAGGAAAGAAAACATTCTCAGTTAAAAATGGATATTTTTAAATATCCATTTTTAATTGAAATAGTGCTTTAAATCATCAAGAAGGATGTGATGTAAATTTTTAATAGTTTTGGGTAAAAATTATATTTAATAATAATCATAACTAATACTCCTAATCGGTTCCGCTTTTTTTTTGTTTCCTGCAATCCAGGAATTGCAGAACCACTCTGTTCCATTCTTTCAATGAAATATTTAGATAATGACAAATTTGCTGTATTATCTTACAGTTTTCATGAAATTTATAACATTTAATTTTCCACCACAGTTACTCATTATTACATGTTTTCTCATTTTCTCAATTAATAAGATATAAAAATCGATGAAGAAAGAAAAATCATCAAACATATCAATGTACACTTTGTAAAATATTATAAGTATATTTTTCATTTAAAATTTCAAAATATACACTGTAGTGCTAATAACTTATCCTCCCACAAAGGTAATTCCATCATTGCCCTGCTGTAGCATATTTCAATTACAACAGCAACAACAAGGCTTGATGAAATATCCTATCAACAACAACATTAATAACCTTGGAAGTAGGTAAAGAGGTCAATATTCAAATTACATACAGCATTTTTTGAATTGCTCATAAAAAGGAAAAAAAAAAATTCCAACATACGTCCAAAGAAAAAAAAAAATAAAAATAAGTTCACCAACAATAAAAGCATTTTTGCTGATTGGTGGAAAACCCTATGATTAAAGTATGAATTGCCTTTTTGAAAGCGCATACTAAATTAATACAAATGACGACGACAAAATTAAAGGATGAATACACAATTATAAAAGAGAGCAAAAAATGAAATAAAGAGCAAATACCAGAAAATAGGATTCCCAGAAAAATGTTTAACACTGAAATAAACGATTGAAATAAAACATAAGCTTTAAGTAAGAGAGAGAAAGAGGAAAAAAAAAAGTTATTTCCTATTTCTAAATTACCGGAAAAGTTTGTTTACTTCTTCAAACATTAAAATATACAAATACACGCATACATACACATAGATACATACATATACATATATGCAACACTACAGAAGATAGAGGTCACATGCTGTTCAATTCGGTAACGGCGAATATTTCTTGATCATTGGGCATTGAATGAAAATCTTCCGATGAGCTATGCCTTGAATGGAAATCCGCTGGACTTGAAAAACCGGAAATTTGTTGATGCCCACGATTTTGTAAAATTTTTCGCCAAATGCGACACACTATACCACCTCTGTAAAATATAACAAATGTAGCAGATTGACAAATTGGAAATATAATCTACCTACAATCAAAAAGATATATGCAGAATATCAAGTTATGACTTTTAGGTATTATGAAAAGCAGTTTATAATGAACAACTGAAACTTGTTGAAATTATAGCTAGGAATTACAGCAGACGAGAATTTTCACTCGCTTAGAATAAACTTCTTATTTCTTTCCATTTCCTTTATCGCTTATAATGTAGTTCTTAACAAAATGAGTACTAATCGCTATTTTAATATGATATTACCTTAGATTAAGTCTCATCAAGTCTTCTCGAGTGACAAAATCGAGAAGATCTTGCTTTGTATATTCTTCCTCCTGAATTCGTCTTATTGTAGCATTATCACATCCAAAAGAACGTAACCATTGTGCCAATTCATCATTCCGAACATTTCTTAAAAGAAATACTGAAATTAACAATTGCAATGAATGGTATAACTTCAATTTGTACAAATATATATTACAATTTTAATTTTTTTCTAAATTTGAACAAAAATTTGGTTAATTTCAGTGCAGCTCCTTCTTCTAAATTAATTTAAATTCAACTTAAAGAAATTAATCAACTCACGATGAAGCTCCAAGACGATTAAATGGTTCTTGTTCAAAGGATTGAATACTACCCACTGTACATATTGGCGAAGATTTAGAATCCGATTTAGTTTCTAACGGTGATAAGGGAAAACCGGATGGTAACGATGGTAGTGTTAGCAGTTGCTGATTACTAGATGTATTATCGTTATCAGACAATAAGTCAGACAAACGTTCTACACGCAATCTTTTCTCTTTTAGAGTAGTCTGAAGTAATTCATTGTATTCACGTTCAACCGCAACCAATTCCTCAAATAACCTGAAAGAATGGCTTGCAAAAGAGAGAGTTCAAAAAAAAAAAAAAAAAAACTGCAGGGAAGAAAACTGAAATGTAGGATATCTTTGAAATTTTAAAAATAAATAACTTTTGCTAAGAAATATCATTAAAATAAAACATTCTGCTCGAGATTTTTCAATTCATAAAAAAAGAAGAATGATAATTAATTTTACCTCCTATTCTCATCAACCAGTGCACGCATTTCTTTCCTCATTTCCGGTGAAAAATTACCCCACATAGCTTCTCGTGTAATACCACGTGACGCAGAACATGATTGACTATCCACAGTTGAATGTTCACTATGAGAACCACCACTTTCACGAGATATCGATGACATACGATTACCTGGTGCATCCTGTACCGATAGCATTGCTGACAGATCTGAAAAACTTATTACTTGTGGTGTGGTACCATCAGCACTCATAAATGATATAATATAAATGAATATGAACCGAAGCTTTTCTTAAAAAAAAAAATCGTACTTGAGATTTCCACTTATTCTTATCCGATGCACACAGCTAAATTACTGAAAATGCTTCTATATTGCCATCTAAATGTCCCAATTGCTTTTAGTAATCTGATATGAAAGCATCATCAAAAAACTTCTTTCATAGCAACAAGGCTAACAAAAAAAAAAAAAAAAAAAAAAAAAAAAGGTGCAAGTTGCCATAAATCAATGCATGCCAAATGATAACTTGAAATAAATTTGTTTGAATAAATCTATTAATTTAAATCCAAAAAATGTGTTGATTGCATGATTATTAGAAAAAATAACGAAATTATTGTCGGAAGAAGATTATGGTATCAATTTAACTGAAAACTGTTACAAGAAAGAAATATATAATCTATTGAATTTTAACTTCGAAATACTAATAATTCACTATAGTTACATGCAAATACTTCTAATGTTACAAATTTACAAAGAAAAAAAAAAACCACCGGAACCCAGAGATGGAACCTCAGAAATCTGAAAAACAAAAGAGAATAATTCATTTAGTTGTTAAAAAGAAACCAAATGGAATGTGAGAAAAAACAAGAAACATACTAACACAATCAATAAGCACAGAGGATGAAACATATTTCACGAAGAAAGCCACAGAAGACAAATGACTCATTCTGATAAAATAAATCCAATCATTTAGCTATATTGTTTCAAATTTAACTTATTTAATTTGCAAACTGCAATTCCTACTCAACTTGTCTCGCTTTTTTCTGCTCCCAATACTTCATTTTTCGTTATCATTTAAATGCATTTTTGTTGTAAAACTTGATAAAATATCCAGAGTTATGGGAAAATATTTAATATATTACGGGTCTAATAGGCATTAAAAAAAAAAAAAAAAAACTGTAATGTAATAACCAGTCTAAGTCTATTGTAATGGAAAATATTAAACTTTATGAAAGTTCAGGGTAGCCATATAACCTGTTAATGATACAACAACACAGTATAACTAACTATGTATCGAAAATATGGACAACCAATGCTTTATAAAATAACTACTGAAATAAAATTAAGTAATTGAGCATCAAAGATATACAATCTCTTTTTTTTTTTTTTATGAGACAAACGTTAGTATTGAGAAAAAAATCACGTTAGTTAACTAAAGAAATATTAACATATTTTTATATTTGATGATAAGTGAGATAGTTCGGAGACGTTTCGTGTGTATCGTTGCTGACGTAACAATTTTTTTTTCTGTTTTTTTTTTTTTTTTTTTTTTTATACAGTTTTCACATAAATTTATTAAAATAATACCTGGAGAAAGGATACTAACAGCAGCTTGCACAGCACTCCGTATCAGGTTATCAAGAGCAAAAATCCAATGTGGTTTGATGGTCTGTTGACGAAGTGATGGTTGTACTGCTTCTGAAAAACCGTAAAGTGCAAGATTAACCTGTGATATGGCGGCAGGCTCAAAATCAAGTTGTGCTCGGACCGTATCAATTGCATCCTGAAAATATGATCATAAATACTTCAAAAATTTCAAGAATTTTTTTTCAAAAAGAAGTATTTCATGAGCAAGACTTTTTTTTTTTTTTTTTTAAAAGGATTTATGACTGATGAATTTACTATTATCAAGAACTCCGTTTATTCATATTTCCTGAA